GCAAACACGTCAAATAGACATGTCGTAATCAGTTTCCCAGTTGCCGTTGACCACGATGAAGGTCTTGGCGGTGTTCATTCAGATATCATTCAGGGTAGGTAATATATCTGTTATATCCTGGAATTGTATCACTCTTCGGGAATGCAGTTCAAAGCGGCTATAACCCAACTCGCTCACTATATATGCCGTTATTTAGTTCTTCCATGGAACACCTGAACTGATTATGGCAGCTCCGTGTGTTTTGTTCTGGAGTAGGCAGACCGGTGGTTGATACTATGAACCTCGCATTTCAAGTTATTCAGGTTAGGTAATATATCCTGGAATTGTATCACTTCACCCACGTCGAAGCGACTATAACCGAACTCCTTCACTACATCGTCAGTAAGTTCTTCGATGGAATATCTGAACTGATTTTAGCAGCTCAGTGTGTTTTGTCTGGACTAGATAGATCAGTGGTTGGTACTATGAACATCTCTTTTCAAGTCACGATAGCAGTACTCGGTTCACATTAAACTGAGTAGGTGTAATGGGTTTAAGGCTCAGTATATGCATATATGTTTAACGTTAAATACTTTAAGAAAATCCAGGAGCACCTGGATGGTGCCGATAAACCATAAACAGTAACCGGGATGAATAGGAGATTTGAACCCAGGAACACCGATCAGGGTTAGGCAAGAAATAACGGCGCTAAATGTTTCTCACAGACCCCAGGGAATAAATCATGAAATGGTTCCAACACAAGTCTAGAAATGTTTTGCAACTCTATTCATTGTTCTGGGATCTAGTTGAATTTAAAATATTTTGTACATTTGTGTTTTTATATGAGATAACTTTGATTCTGCTCCCCATGCGACCAAGCTTGCAGTGACCATCACATTTCAAGACACGGTTCGTTCCATCTTCCCATAATCAGACACACCTAGCAGCCATTTGTGCCATTCAATCCTCATTTATTACGACAATAACGAACGACCACTTATACACAAACAATGTTCATTCTGACAAGTGATATCCAAGAGGAAACCCTCAGCTTACAATAACCATTGGTGTAGTGCTTCCGGGAGTTCAGGCCATAATCACTTGTTGCAAGAAGACCCTCCACCATCGGCACACGACAACGTACATCAAGTGCCTGTAATTTGCATGATTGCGTTTGTCACTTGTAGCACTTCATTAATTGTGATCATCGCTGACCGAGGATGACCGGGTAAGGTCACGTGGGTCAAGTGGTCCCTGGGGACTGGGGGTCATGGTTGTAATGACAGTGGCAGACAAGGATTATGGATCATTCACGACAGGCTGGAATAACGTTGTCTGAATACCCCCACAGCCGGGAGAGGAACTATACCGCCCCACAGACTCGGGAGATTAAACTGAGAAATCAATCAAACACAAGTCCAGAATGATTTAGCAAGTCTAGATTGTATAGGCACTGAATTAAAGTATTTTCTGGAGTGAATTTGGATTTATTTGGATACTATGTGTATACTTATTTGGGAATCAGAAAACATTATTTCTTAGACTCAGTGTTATTTATAGTCATGGAAAGAAACAGGCACCACGACGTTCTATCTCAACTCCGAGATGGTGTCAGACTAGTCTGTCTCACAGTCCCTGCAACGAATAATCTTCCCTACTGCCTTGCCCTTTCTGCAGTGCTAAAGTCCTAAATGAAGCAAGTCTAGATTTCCTCATGTTCTGGATCTCACTTCTGACTGGGACCTCTTTTCAATTTAAAAGGACTTGTTTGTTCTCTCAAAATTTATATTCAGAGACTAAATGTTATTCCACTGCCAGACACACACCATGCAGGCTGCTTTAAGTACTCGGGATTCCGGGCCTCTTAACGGGTATTCGGGACTCAGCATTGTAGTGCTGAGAACATGCATGTTTGTTCCAAATTTTAATATCTAAAAGTCGTACGTGAACATTACATTTATATCTATATAGTTTAGAGACATAACTTCGAATAGCACCCTTTAATGACCTGGAACATATTCCATAGGATTTCGATTTGCCAAACTGACGTTTGCCTTTATAATAACCATTCGTGATTCTGGGGGGAGCAAATGAATGACAAATTAGATTGTATTCAAGGATGGGTTCTGCATCATCATCCTGACAGGAACATATGCAAATATCGTTCTCTTCCTCCGCTCCTGGGGATCGATATTGATTGGGTCTGGATGCAGTACATGTATCTCCCGTGTGGAATGTCAGTAGGCATGGTGTCACGTGGTACACGATTATATAACGAGATTATCTCACATTATTGTTATTCAAGCCGAATCTTAACTGTACTCAACAGAAAGTCGTTCAATCCGGATTGGGATTTGGGAAATGAAGGCAAACACGTCAAATAGACATGTCGTAATCAGTTTCCCAGTTGCCGTTGACCACGATTCAGATATCATTCAGGGTAGGTAATATATCTGTTATATCATGCCCGATTTGATTGGTTGATCTATCATTGTTTCTGTGTACAGGCCAGTGGGTGAGCGAGCGAATATGGTTTTTCGCCGCTTTTAACTTTATTCCAGCAATATTACGGGTTGGGTGGGACACACGAAATTGGCTATACCTATTGCCACCTTGTGGGAATTGAGCCTTGGTCTTTGAAGTGACGAGGGGATGCTTTAACCATCAGGCTACGACACTCTCACTTCGTAAACACATCCTTGATAATCCAGTTTGATGAATATCCCAGAGCATTTCGCTACAGTAGCTTTGTCCGTTGGATGGCTGTGTCAACCACCGCCGCTCTGCGGAACAGTTTTAATCGTAGATGAGAGTGATATGATTTTTTTGCATGGTGCTCTTGGGAGAGGGTTCATATTGGCTAATGAATACATTATATTTATTATAGAAATCCAAGATATACACCTCACTGTCAAGTCAAGTAGCCTGTTCATCCAAACCTGTACTGCCTCTGTATTATGTGTTTGTTGGGAATATTACTGATTGGACGTGTTACTGGTTCAGTGACTGGTTCAAGAACATACAACTGTTGTCTTTGATTGGACTCGGGGTCATTGTTTTATCGCAAGATTATACTTGAAAGGCATAGGGTAATAATACCGTCAATTGGACATACTGGATTCCACCAGATGGTTTAATGTCGCCAATTGTGCAGACAGTGCAGCATCGGAGGACGCCGTCAGGGGAGTTTCCGGAAGTGTATATCACTACAGGGTCAGGTGTTCCTGTGCATTTCACAACACATGGGCGAGATAGTTGCGCAGTAGGAACAAGATTCGTTGTGCAACCTGAATTACGTCCGTAAATAAACTGTTTGCAATACGGACGCTAAAACACTGTAGCAACTGAGATGTACCTAGTAGATCACCAGCAGATCCTGTAGTTGTGAATATAGTTGCAGCATCACCTACATATGTTCCAGGTCACTTTGACCTCAGTAGCCACCTGCGTCTATATGGCAGATGCCTGTGGGTGTGTACCAGGGGAACCCCGTGACCAACTTCAGGTGCCTGTGGGTGTGTACCCGGGTAGCGCTGTGCCCTACTTCAGATGCCTGTGGGTGTGTACCAGGGTAACCCCGTGACCTACTTCAGGTGCCTGTGGGTGTGTACCCGGGTAGTGCTGTAACCTACTTCAGATGCCTGTGGGTGTGTACCAGGGTAACCCCGTGACCTACTTCAGATGCCTGTTGGTGTGTACCAGGGTAGCCCCGTGACCTACTTCAGGTGCCTGTGGGTGTGTACCAGGGTAGCCCCGTGACCTACTTCAGATGCCTGTGGTAGTGTACCAGGGTAGCCCCGTGACCTACTTCAGATGCCTGTGGGTGTGTACCAGGGTAGCCCCGTGACCTACTTCAGATGCCTGTGGGTGTGTACCAGGGTAGCCCCGTGCCTTTCAGATGCCTGTGAGTGTGTACCAGGGTAGCCCCGTGACCTACTTCAGATGCCTGTGAGTGTGTACCAGGGTAGCCCCGTGACCTACTTCAGATGCCTGTGGGTGTGTACCAGGGTAGCCCCGTGACCTACTTCAGATGCCTGTGGGTGTGTACCAGGGTAGCCCCGTGACCTACTTCAGATGCCTGTGGGTGTGTACCAGGGTAGCCCCGTGACCTACTTCTGATGCTTGTGGGTGTGTACCAGGGTAGCCCCGTGACCTACTTCAGATGCCTGTGAGTGTGTACCAGGGTAACCCCGTGACCTACTTCAGATGCCTGTGGGTGTGTACCAGGGTAGCGCTGTGCCCTACTTCAGATGCCTGTGGGTGTGTACCAGGGTAGCCCCGTGACCTACTTCAGATGCCTGTGAGTGTGTACCACTGTCACCCCGTGACCTACTTCAGATGCCATCAGTGCACCGCGGGTATCCGGATTGCCCTGTCATGGAGACACCCTTAGGCTTGTCGTAAAATGTCAATATACTTTCTGAGATGATAATCTTTTTAAGAGTGTATTTATAATCTACTATCAAACGTGCCGCTTAAGTCTTCTATCAGAACGTGTCGTTAGTGAATGACAGTGGTTACAGTGAGGATCTTTAGTACGTTGAAGTCTTACTGAAATTCTTCAGATGTCATGTAATACATCTTTTTCGAGCCGCTGGGCATAGTTTCGGAAGATATATTTAATGAGACATTGAAACGTTCATTTGCAAGGTATGATTTACGAATATTATTTTGAGCACTTGAATCGTACTGACATCTCGAGCTTTGGGTTCAAAGATCTGTGTGTACAATGCAACCACATCTGTTCATGTGTTGACAGTCCCCAGATGTCACATATTTAGATGATAAATAATTTGCGAGAGTGATTCCTACCATGTACAGCGGGTCTGATATTCGCTAACAGTGTATATTATGATATAAGTGCGCAAATATTATATGAACAGTTAAATATGAGTCATAACATGAACGCCGGGGGGAGCACAGGTAATTGTCTGAGCACCTGTCACGCGGATGGCACGCGGAGAATGATTAATTTCAGATAGCAGACGACAACCCCATATTATCAGATCCCGCCATCCAGGTCAGTAGACGACATTTAAATCTCGAAGATGCATCACTGAAACAGATTTCATAACGCCTTTCTGGAAAACCAATTTTATTTTATGACGAACTTGAGACACGGAAGGCCTCCTTGACCTCTGTTGAGGTTGGAGACGATTACAATTACATTACGCGGTTGAATCTTTTGTATCCGAACGTTATTGTGTTCGAGCAGCTCAGCTTGCAATGGATTGTCAGTTTCCTGGACTGGAGGACGTTTGCAAACAGTGGGGTATTTCTGCCATTGAAAGATGTCCCCGGAGTGTTACAGGTGCAAGTCTTCAGATGACAGACAGATTCAAGGAGGGAATCGTTCGGGTGGATGAAATCCCGACAATCGGATGAGATCCTGACGTTTGAATGAAATCCTAGCAGTTAGATGAAATCCTGATGGTTGGATTAAATCCTAACCTTTGGACGAGGCTCTGGTTGATGGACGAAGCTCTGACGGGTTGACTAGTTGTTGTTCAGATTATAGTATGTTGTTTGGTTGTCGATCTGGTTCATGTGTAGGTTCCAGCTGACGCACCTGTATGCGCCAACGCCTCCATACAATACATTTACGGTGTACTGTTGTGAGTCATGGATCTGGCGACCAGAACATAGATCTGTCATGATTGGATATGTACGACCTTTGAAGCGGAGCAAGAGTAAGAGATGAACTGACAGCAGGGCGTTATCTAGAGGTAGCCGTGGATGTGTCAGCCTCCCTCTGTGAAAGTACATCCTTCTTGTAAGGTGAGGCCAAGTGAAATTTAACGTTGCATTCAGCATTATTTCCCTTAATTGTAGCGAGCATACACGAATGTACTGGGCCAGACATTACTTGTTTTCAGCGCTAACCAACTGAAATACCAGTTTAGCATGGCTACACATACATAATATACTTAACCCCAGTGGACCGTTCAAACCGAGCACCAAGGAGGGTAATAAGTGAAAAAACTTTGGATTGGGATTGTTCTCTTACTGCGGAACCATGCAGTTGTGTAACATGGATATCCCACTCAAACGTAACATACCGACCCTGAACCCTGAAACAAGTGAAAGGAAGGGTAAAAACAAGTGCCATCTTTTATCGTGTGGTTTTGTAATGCTTGACTACTGAGGTACCATGCAATAGTTTGACATGGATACCCCACTCAGACACAGAATACGGGATTCCAGGCCGACCAAATGCTTGGCACCAGGAAGGGTAACAAGTGCCATCTTTTGCTGTTGCATGGTATGACACTGGTTTTTGTAGTTCTTCCAGACAGAGGGACCATCCAGTAGTTTAGCATTGATACCCTACTCAGCCTGAGTAACTCAGGCACTGTGTCTCGACTCAGAGCCGACCTATCCGTGTTTTATTCTCCACAGCGCCAGGAAGGTTAACAATAAGTGCCATCTTTTTGTATGGTTTTGTAATTCCTGTCCTACTGAGGTACCATGCTGCAGTTACTCAACCCATTCATTGTATACCTACTCCGAGCCGACCAGTCCGTGTTCTATCACCTAAATGCTCGATGCCAGGAAGGTTAACATCTCACGTTTTTGGATGACGCGGCCAGAGAATTGAACCATCGACCTCACGCTTATCGAGCATACGTTCTGGCCACCGGGCTGTTTTGATGTTTTGAAGGCACCCATTTATGTGTAAGGTTTGTTCAGTGCACGATCCTCGCAATCGAGACCTTTAGTGTTTATTATTTCCGTTTTCTATCACCTAAATGCTGGACGCCAGGAAGGTTAGCACGCCCATCTTCTCACGTTTTTTGGATGACGCGGCCAGAGGATTGACCCATCGACCTCACGCTTATCTAGCATATGCTCTGGCCACCAGATCAACGGGCTGTTTTGAAGGCACCCGTTTATGTGTAAGGTTTGTTCAGTGCACGATCCTCGCAATCGAGACCTTTAGTATTTTTTAACAGGTGTAAGTCTTCATCCACGCTGTTAGAGTGTAGCTCGGCAACCAGGTGTAAACAGCTCAAGGCTCCTCCACCAAATGATGACTTTGAGTGTGGGTTTGTACAGCCAGATCAATTTGTATATTCCCAGATTCCACCGCATGGAGAGTTACCCCAGTGCACCGTGCCTGCTCATTATCTCAAGAGATCGATGTTTGGCTAATGGGTAACATTGTGCTACAAATACAATAACCTACTCGAGATTCGGAACGAGGATATTTGTCCGGAGTTAAATTGGACTTTTGATTGATGCCCCCGGGGCAGGTAATCCCTTAATCGCTCTGTTCCCTTCCACTGAAGCTCTACAGTGGCAATAGCAGGGGAGGATCAGTACAGTCAACAGAAGGTGCATCAGAAGGTGCTGCCCCGCCATTACTGCAGCCTGTCGTGCTGGAACGGGGTGCACCCTGTAGGGATTCCTCATCATAATAAGGGGCGGTGGGGTAGCCTAGTGGTTTAAGCGTCCGCACGTCACACTGAAGACCCGGGTTCGATTCCACACATGGGTACAATGTGTGAAGCCCATTTCTGGTGTCCAGTGATATGGCTGGAATATTGCTAAAGGCGGCGTAAAAACCATACTCACTCACTAATCATAATAAATTCATAATAATCTAATCATAATATTAGTCAGGTCCAAGTGCATCGTAACCTGAAAAAGACTGAAAGGGCTTTTCTAAGTTGGACAATTTGTGTCCAATCCTTTTTTTCGGGAATACAAGATGTTTAAACTAAACTAGACCTTAAAATGAATAAAGGAATGCAGTGGTCAGTCTATTTGACTTGAATGTACGCCTTCGTTCCCCGATGGACGTTGATTATGCTTGCATATTTTTTCGCAGCACTTCGCTCTGATTATTTACAGGCAGCCATGATATCTGAGAAGGGCTGGCTGCAGCATGTCAACAAACATATTGTTATATAATGGGATGTATCTGCCAGTTGGAACTCGTTTCGATTCCAGTATAATATTGCGTGATGTAAGTTGAATGCTCCCCATTCGGTTCTGACAATGGCGTGTGATTGCACGTTATATGCTAGTTCAAGTGTGAGGGCGTGTTCCTCACCCTTAGGGTCCGAGTTCGACTCCCACGTGAGCGAGGGTGGTGGGGTAGCCTAGTGGTTATAGTGTTCGCTCGTCACGCCGAAGTCTCGAGTTCGATTCCTGACATGGGTACAATGTGTGAAGCCCTTTCCTGGTGTCCTCCGCCGTTATGTTGATGGAATATTGCGAAAGGTGGTGTAAAACCAAACTCAATCACTCACTCATCCTACGTGAGTGTAATATATTACGTAGTTGGTTTACTTCATTATCTAATTCTAAAATTGATGTAAGACGCCACATGTTTTGATGATCCGTTATCATCAGTACAAGCCTGTGTGACTGACAGCAATGCAGGTGTTACAAGCATTATACCCCAATATGTACCCACGTACTCCTTCCTACAAGCTTGGTGTCTTGTATTCCAAACAGACACCGTTCTCTTTGAATCCACGAGCGAATATCTTGTGTCCAATTTTGGCACTGGCTCCGGCGTCAGCTGATGCCGTGTCTCAGTGTTTCCTTAAGCGGAGTGAACCTCAGTTCACTCACATAGAAACATGATAAGACAATTAAAAGCTATTTTCTAAAAAATACCGCCAACCTGATGTCGATGTCAAACCAAACACGACATTTAGTGATTGAACTAGCAATAATACCAGCAGCGACAAGAGGAGTTCAGTCTTCCATGCTGACCCAATTGGTGCAGGCACACTGCCCACAATGTAGGTCAACCATGGAAAATATTTTATCGGAGTATAATAGAGAGTTGCTTTAAAGGAAATAGTGCTAGACATCAATTTATCCTGAATGAATCATACCTGCAGCTGTCACGAGTGACATAGGTAGTTAATGTAGATGTGTACCAGGCATGCTCGAATTATGTATGTGGCAATTGACGTCATACCATCACGAACTCTAATTAGTGCAGCAAGGTGGTGATGTTGGTCGCAAACTCACCCGTACTGGTGCAACAAGGTGATAACGTTGGTTCAAGGCTTACCTGAACAGGCTAAACAAGGTGGTGATGTTGGTTCAAGGCTTACCTGAACAGGCTAAACAAAGTGATGATGTTGGTTCAAGGCTTACCTGAACAGGCTAAACAAGGTGATGATGTTGGTTCAAGGCTTACCTGAACAGGCTAAACAAGGTGATGATGTTTGGTTCAAGGCTTACCAGGCTAAAACAAAGTGAACAGGCTAAACAAAGTGATGATGTTGGTTCAAGGCTTACCTGAACAGGCTAAACAAAGTGATGATGTTGGTTCAAGGCTTACCTGAACAGGCTAAACAAAGTGATGATGTTGGTTCAAGGCTTACCTGAACAGGCTAAACAAAGTGATGATGTTGTTTCAAGGCTTACCTGAACAGGCTAAACAAAGTGATAACGTTGGTTCAAGGCTTACCTGAACAGGCTTAAAGTGATGATGTTGGTTCAAGGCTTACCTGAACAGGCTAAACAAGGTGATGATGTTGGTTCAAGGCTTACCTGAACAGGCTAAACAAAGTGATAACGTTGGTTCAAGGCTTACCTGAACAGGCTAAACAAAGTGATGATGTTGGTTCAAGGCTTACCTGAACAGGCTAAACAAAGTGATGATGTTGGTTCAAGGCTTACCTGAACAGGCTAAACAAAGTGATGATGTTGGTTCAAGGCTTACCTGAACAGGCTAAACAAAGTGATAACGTTGGTTCAAGGCTTACCTGAACAGGCTAAACAAAGTGATGATGTTGGTTCAAGGCTTACCTGAACAGGCTAAACAAAGTGATGATGTTGTTTCAAGGCTTACAGGCTGAACAGGCTTAAACAGGCAAACAAGGTGATATGTTGGTTCAAGGCTTACCTGAACAGGCTAAACAAAGTGATGATGTTGGTTCAAGGCTTACCTGAACAGGCTAAACAAAGTGATGATGTTGTTTCAAGGCTTACCTGAACAGGCTAAACAAAGTGATGATGTTGGTTCAAGGCTTACCTGAACAGGCTAAACAAAGTGATGATGTTGGTTACCTGAACAGGCTGGCATGTTGGTTCAAGGCTTATCTGAACAGGCTAAACAAAGTGATAACGTTGGTTCAAGGCTTACCTGAACAGGCTAAACAAAGTGATGATGTTGGTTCAAGGCTTACCTGAACAGGCTAAACAAAGTGATGATGTTGGTTCAAGGCTTACCTGAACAGGCTAAACAAGGTGATAACGTTGGTTCAAGGCTTACCTGAACAGGCTAAACAAGGTGATAACGTTGGTTCAAGGCTTACCTGAACAGGCTAAACAAAGTGATAACGTTGGTTCAAGGCTTACCTGAACAGGCTAAACAAAGTGATAACGTTGGTCAAGGGTTCATCTGCGCGGGTGCAACAAGGTGATGACGTCGGTCACAGGCTCACCTGACCAGGCTAAGCAATGTGATGTTCTTGGTAGACTCACTTGTACATTTTTATCAAGGTGATGAAGTCGTTCACTTGTAAATTATATTCTAGGTTAGGTAAAAGAGTTTGATCTTTTTATGCAGATTTTGCCTATGATACACCAATCATGCCTAAAGTACACCGTCCTCTGATATTGTCCCAGCTGTCATCACAATAAATGTGATGGTGGCCAACTCTGGTGAGTTCAGCACACTTCCTCAACGTGGAGCTATTTATAAACCAAACGTTATTGTATTATACAAGATTCTGAACTATAAGTTGTTTAGTGATGACCAGCATGTGTATTTCTTCCCGTGCTTGACATTCACACGTGTAATTGTG